CAATTGCGTATTGAATGATTCATTGTGATCGATTGCATTATCTTAAATAACTATCAGAAACTAGAACGTAGTGTTTTTATTAACATATTACTTGTAACTAATCGATGTAAATGAACATAGTGATATAGTGAGGATTATATTCATTTATATTCGATCAAAAAGACCATGAATTCACTGTGTTTTATGCGAAGTTTGCACTATCTGCTTACACATACAGGTCTTAATTTAATTCCAAGACATTTCATTTACAATTTAAGTAAATTACCAATATTCCATCAAGATTAATAAACATGACAAATTAATGTATATTCTGATAACATTATAATTCTATATTATAGTGAACAATAATTAGGTATATATTAGCCAAAATATGAGGCTGTTATTAATCATCAGTTAAAATGTAAAGCATAAAGAGCTTAATATTTTAATCTGATAACATTTGTGTTTTTCTATCATAAACATAATTAATGTAGATATCAATGTTGATTAAATGTTTTCATGTAACATCATATTTTTTCTAAAAATCATGGGAACGATATAAAAAATTTTGGTAAGACATTTGTAAGTTGGCAATCTTTTTGAAGGTATAGTTGAACAACATGGGATTGTGGTTATTTAACCGGTTGAAGAAACATAACACCTTATGTAGTTTATACAAATTAACGATTTTTCAACTTCTAATTAGTGTTAAGATAAATACTTCTTAATAATTTTATTATCTTAAATGTTTTTAATGAGACTGTTGTAAAAACACTAATAGTTAAATTAATACTGCAGAAACACGAGATTGACAGACTATTGATTGTACTAATGAGTTAATTCAAAATGATTAAATAACACTTAAGCGATTCTTATTAGTGAATACCTATTTCATAGAAGAATATACTTTCGTCATTTAAAAGACGACTAATTACTGCAGTTGTTCATATTGTGTCTATCTACGTAATATGCAGTTACGTGATACAATCTAGACATCAATTACGGTAAGGCGAATCATTTAATAATAATAATATTATAATAATAATAATATTGTATAGATATATATGAATTTTAAATCGTAACAAAACGCACAATCGTAGACACGGACACTGAAAACATGAAGAAAACTTGGTATCTACAGATAGACTTAAGTTCATAATAAAAACATTAAATAAGAACTCATAGCTAACGAAATGTTCTGAAGTTAATTTTTTCTTCTTAAGTAGTAATTGTCACTCAGATTGGTGTGAATAATTGTCTATTTTTTCAGCGGACAATTTGACGGAATTCCGAAATTATGAACGCTCAATGACTATCTGTATTTAAACTTGTTACGAAAATTCATTTATGAGCTGCTTGAAAACTCATTACTGAGACTGATCCCAGACATGTAACTAGTAAAATGTAAATTCTACAACAGGCCGCTTTTTTTAATTACGGTATATGATGTTAAATATAGGATACATCGTGATACATGATAGTACATAAACTGGTTGTAACGGCTGACCCCCCAAGGTCACTTCAAATATCTAATTTACTTACTTTCCAAGAGTAGAAATATTGAACCAAAGCTCATGATATTAGATTCATTCTAACTGAACTTATGCACTCATGAAGAATGAAAACAATTGTTGTTAAAGCTGAACCGGCTCTAAGTTTTGACGATTAAAGATTAACTTTAAACAATGACGATTAACATTTTTCGTTTGTGCATATTTTTGAGTAAATGCAGTTAAAATATCTTTTAAACAACCATTTCATGAGATTGTTTTTTCTCACAAATTTCAACTAATCCAGAACGACAATATTTTAAAGAACATGATGAATACGTTGTAATTTCATAGTTTCTCTTCAGTTGTATGAAGGTTAAAAAAAATATTTTTTTTTTGAAATAATAAAATAATTTGTAACTTGAGAAACGAATTTCTCGTTAGCAAACAAGTTATATGGTTTTAAAAAATCCGTAAAGTGATAATTCTATGCTATTAAAGATAACTTTTCATTCTATAATATCACAAATATATAGATTTAGATAACAGAAGAGTTAAACTCATTAAAATTAAGTAATTTCAGAAGAATTTTAAACCAAACATTTTATTGCACCAAAATTGTATTGTTATTCAGCCATGCTTTTTTTTACCAAATGTGGTTTATTTAATATGCAAAAAAAATAATTTCTTGGATTAGATATTTGGTGATCAATATATTACAAAAGCGACAACACTATTTTTTTCCTTTTTTCATTCCATAACAACATCAAGATAATTAGTTTGACATGTATCTATCTATATCTATTGACAACTTTATTTTTTTGTTATTAATTTCAATGAAGGTCATAAAAGCCATTTACTGTAAGTAAATGTTAGGAGGAGTAGTATTTTTACGATTGTACACAAATCGATGTGTGTCTGCATGTGGAAAAGGAATAAAAACTAAAAACAATTAGTTCTTTTACATTTATGCACAACTCTAGTTGAGTAAAACAACAAAGATTTACACGTACACATAAGAAATCGAAGATAACAACAAGTTACTTCAACCTAACTGCCTAACATGAACTAATATAATTTATGTAGTTATGAAGTTATTTTGGAAAAACCACTTTTAATTTTCCATGAAAATGGCCTCGTAATTTTTCACAACTTACATCACAAATGAAAATAAATTGAATCAAGGAAAAAAAAAAACCTTTGTTAAAGTTGCAAATTTATTTGGAAAATGTACTTTATTTGAAGAAAAATTTCTAAGACTTACGCATTACTTCAAAGGATTCGAAAAATAGTTATTACTAATTTATTGTTTTTCCTAGGAGTCCTGGCATGAAGGCAAAATTCAGAGCAATAAATTAGCATTCTAATGAAAATTGAAAGTCGAGACGTATGCAAATATACATGACTTAAAATAATTTTAAAATTTATCAACACTTCTAAAAATTGTATTCTGTGGTTCAATGATTTTTTTTAATTGGATAACAAATAAGTATCAATATTTAGTCATCAATAAATTATTTCCTGTCAAAATTACATTTTATAAAATAACGTCAATACTGGTCATCATGTCATATAAATAAATAATGTGAATAATGTGGATTTTGTTTTCAATTCAACATAATATCTTGCCGGAAATATTTTGTTCTTGTATCCTACTAGACAAGATCGTCAACACTTTATTCTCATAGAATCGCATATTCGTCATTATCTGACAAACAACATCACTGGTTAATGTTGGATTGACTAGTTTTCTAAAAATCTCTTTTCCATATTAACTAGAAGTATTTTTTTAAATGTCAACATGTAAAGAATCAAAGGTTTTTATATTTTATTATGTGTAAAAGTACATGAATACAAACAGATACATCTAGCAAAAAGATCAAGTCACACTTGTGAAACAAATATAAATTCAGCCTATCAATGTAATTTAATTATGCGTTCCTATGAAGTTAAATTTCATTTTGTAATCAGAGTAGTTATGTCAACGATTTAACAAAGCAGAAATCTAGAACATTATGGAGAGAAACTAAATGAGAAACCAAAGAACATATATAAAATATAACATTTAATGTATGTATTTGAAACCACGCAATCGAGGAATTAAATAAATGACCAGTTAACAAAAATTTCAATGATTAATTTGACAACCGAAAAGTTTGTTTGTTTTTCTTCGTGATATTTGTAAAGTTGTTTAAGCTGAATATTAAGTCATTTGATTCTCTTGTCATTTTTTAGGAAGTTTCGCTGAAATTTGAACAACAAAAACAACAATTGAAATACATGGAAACATTATGTTTTTCTGGAGTGAAAATGTTTGCGAAACATTTTTTTCTACTAACTGAGGGAAAAGTATGATAAATGTTTGAGTGATAACGATGAGGAAGTATTTATGTTCCGCTTCTGATGTTTGAAGAGATCCTAAGTTGTTACTTTAAAATAGCCAATGAGGAAACGTAGTTTCGTAGATTAATCAGTCTGTTCGAAAGAGAACATGTATACTCTACTTTTTCAAGCGAAACGAATTTCAATTAATAATTAATGTAGTGTTAATCACTTAACATATATATCTATATACCTGAATGTGGTACTGTTTAAACCTTACTATTCGTGTCAAAGTTAATGATGCTACTTAGCCATCCAAACCAGGGTTCATATATATGAAAGCAAATAGTTTGAAGTTGTATGCATTAACAGGTGAGCTACTGATCTTAAGTAGAAACATACAAAAATATCAGAAAATTTGGGAAGTAGATGACAAGTTAGAAAAGCCAAAAATACGATCCTTTATAAAACATGTATGTCATCGAGTCAGTGCTACGAATGATGACAACTTAAAAACAACACTAACGAATTATAACACATATATGCATACTCCAACAGCGTTTAACATTCCTAATGATTTATTTAAATAATGATAGTTTATATCGTTGCCTAAAATTTTGACCATCCATCTGAAATGGTCGGTACAGAATCAAGTCCTCTTAACCTTATTATCCCTTATTGACTGCCAAGTGTTGCATGACGTCTATATCAGCATTATACCAAAACTGATTTATCCATTGTGCGAACTTATTTGAATGTAAAAATATAGTTGGCTTTGAGTATAACAGGGGGTTGAAGCTAATACCACGTGAAACACTATGGTTTATTAAAAGTGTTGAATTCCAAGTTACAAAATTTGTACACCTTCATACCGGGTTTAATAAGGTTAATGGTATATGTTATATGACCATGAAAAAAATTTCAAACTTTCATAAGGAAAATTCTGCATAAAGAATCATGTTACAGTTTGTAAATAAAGTAATGCTGTCAGAAACAAGTCAAACATATTTATGTTAAACAACCATTCATTCTATTTCTCATTGTACAAAGATTTCAATAAAAAATATCCGGAAGTATAGTATTGATCATCTACAACATATTTTTAAATCCCATAAGAATATGTATCACATCAAAGTCTATTTTACTTAGAACTCATTTGACGACTAACCTATAATGATGTATAGAAAATAAAATATAATATCGTCTTACCAACATATTGTCGTATACCTATAATTCCAATGAATACAAATAATAATAGTCCAGTGAACTGATAATTCAATCGATCAGCAAAATCATCATCCGATCTTAATCGAGTTGATGTAAGACGACCGAATTTGGATAATTTCCAAACGTAGTCAGCATTCATTTTTCAAAATTAAGATAATAATTTCGAGTAATTTTTTTTAATTTATTGGATTAAAATTATGGTAAATGTAATTTGTCCACCATAAGCATGATTTAGCGTACTTTTAATTTAATGGTTGTATTGTTTTATTTAATGTTAACCTGACCAACGATTAGTTGGGACTTTTAAATAAACATCAAAAATGTAACCGGAGTAAAACCATTACTTGGTATGATCAAAAAGCACTACGAAGCAGTGTTTTGCAAAAAGAAATAATAATTTGCCATAGCATTATACGTATTACATTTAAGAAGAATATATTTCGAAACATACGTATTTAAAGGAGAAATCCATGCTGAATTATCGACCAATCATGTTTGTGTATGGGCAAATGGAATTCAACCAATCAGAGCTGTCTACTTTTGACTTCAATCTTTGATGATAGAATACAATTTGTAATCCGTTACGAACATTGAAATTTAAAACCAGAAAATGAAAATAAAATAACATAGTCAACATCAACAAGAATTATGTTACAAGTATGAATTGTTTTTAACGGTCTTTCATGACACATTAGCTAATAACATTCCACTTATTTCAAAAAAAAGATTTGAATAAATGACAGTTCAAATTGACATTCTTTGTCTTCTCATCACCTTGAAGGACACTATAACATCAACACCATAGCCCCTGTGAAATGACAGTTACACAACATGGATATAAAATCACTGTTAGTTTTTATTCAGAGCCTTAATAACCTTGTTTCGCCATTTAAAAGATTGACTGACTTCCATAATATTAATAATAATGACATTTCCCGGATTTTCCGGTTACGCGACTGGCTGAAATAGTCTAAACCTGCTTGAAACATTTTTAAATTCAATAATATTACAAGACACGTAACTTGACTTGTGCTATGGTGACTAATAAGTTTAATCAAAATGAAAATATATTTTCGTTAATGTACTCGATACAATAAATGCCAAAATATATAAATTTTTGAGGATACAATCAACTGAAAAGCTAATCTTTTCTACTGTCACTGCTATTCATTCATCTTTACCTTTCCGGTAATAAATAGTTACTTCCTAGCTTCAGATATTAGTATGATAAATTTCAGCCAATTTAATTAATTTCGGTTTATTGTTTAAAGTTTTCTCTAGATGTTCTTGATGACAAATCAGATGTACAGAAATTACCCTGAAATCTATAGATTAGGACTAATTTTTTATAAGTGTAAACGATTTGCGTGAGTTAACTTGCTAGTTAGAGTTACAAGCAAATCTGTGTCAGTGCATTATACTATCTGAACTAAAGTATGAGATTTAACGTTTATTTACTAAGTATACTCAAACAACTGGATTTTAATATTGATTCGGATCACCTCAACCATACACACTAGTCCTGGTATCAAAAGTAAATAAGATCTCTAATCATAAATCGAAATGATTATCTATAATCTACTACACAGAAGTTCACCATGATAATAATCAATCCATATATACATGTATATATACTTGTAGGATATATAAATATATATATATATATATATGTATTAAAGAAAATAAGTAGGTCAACTTAGGACCAATGATGGTTTCAAATACAAAAACATGATTACCATTAGTTTCGTTTTTAAATCTTACAGAATATTTCAATAATAATGATAATAATAAGTGAACTAATCGATTCAACAATACAAAGCAACAAATACTACAATTGTGACAAACTTTCTTCTTTTGGGAACAATTTCAAGTCAAATCTGTCATTAGTTAATTGATAAAAAGATCTATATATTAATCGATAAATAAGCAACAAAGCGTTAATTAAAAATTGTATCATATGATAAGGAAATGAAAACTTTGATTTTCCTCAATAAACTCTTGTAACCTTTCTATGTGAGGGCAAAAAAAACAGTAATCATACGATGACGCTAGTTGCTTTGATAGTTTAATTTATATTTTCAAGACTAATGCAGTAATGAAAGTAAATTCTGTTTTAATTGATGACAACTTCCGTTATTTGACATTCTAAGTTTGATTTAAAGAATAAATAACAATAAAATGAATATTTATATATCTATTTATACTTATCTACAGTTTTTTAGTGATATAAATAATTATGATATTATTGTTTTAGTTTCTACAGACAAGTAACAGGAAAGATATTCATTCTCTTTATTGTTTAACTAATAAATTTCGTTATTTAACATTGGTCTGTAGTATAAAAATTGAACATTTTATACATTTCAGTGTGTCGATATTATCTCTCTATTTTTATACATTGGATGAAGACATGAATAATAATAATAATAGGTATTAACTTTTATGTGATTGATTTCCTGGATTAAATGGATCGATCTGTATTGGAGTAGAAACTCATTATATAAATGCTTCGAAACTGCTTATATTTACTAGTGCATATGTATGTAATTAAGAACATAAAATTTATCAGTATAGCAAGTTTGAATTATAGAAGTGGTTGACCTATTCAATTGTGAATATCACTGTTTTAATCCTCATAGTTACGAATACATCGGATTCAAGCCCAGGAGTTAGTTGTTACAAATCACTAACCTTGATAATTAAGACAGTAACATCGGCAGCAACCAGTACTGCAACCAAATTCTTCAGTGGGAATGAATGACTCTATCCATAAACGGTCGATCCCAATCACTATTCAAACTAATATTTGAGCAATTAAATTTGGTCAACTCTTAACAAAACTATTATGCACCTGATAAGTCCATTCGAAATAACTTTTATAAACTGAGCTTTAAATAACCATGACTATATTTGAAAAAGAAATAAGGCCAGATTTCCAGTAAAATATACAGTTTACGAAAATAAGTCGTTAATATTAAATCAAAAATGCTAATTTGGTGTTAAGTTTCCCGATAATAAAATAAAACTTGATAATCATAGTACACAATGAATGGGCTTAACCCAATATGAAATTTTTTATAAAATCCATTTGACTGTAATTCGACATCTTGTCTGAGAATATTACAATAATTGGAGACAGTGTGTTCTAAGTAAACATCAGATTAAAGTAAGAATGATATGATTTCAAATCATCATGTAATATGGTTTTTATATGGATATGTATTACTACAAGTATAAACATTTAATTCTGATACAGACATTCATAAACCGTTCGTCATGGATTTCATCATTAGTAAAAGTGTTGTATATATTAAACATATTTAAAAAAGAAACTGCTTTAACTAAGAAACACTACAAAGGAATGAGTCTCCAAATAAACGTCTAGTGAAACAAGAAAATTTGAATGATAGCAAACTAGCAAAGACATAATGTTCAACAAGTGTAAATCTATATTGCTTTTGTTTCAACTACCTACATAATGAGATGGATTGGAGTTTTACCAGAGCACTGCTGTAAACAACGATGCTTTCAATAAATTTGATTTTAAAGCATAAAAGTCAGTTATATTCATTTACGTAAATAAAGTTCTAGCAGTAGGTTTATGAGTTTATGAAAAGAAGCAAATTGGATCTCAATAGATAGATATTATTGTACATGTATCTTGTTTTAAGATGTTGCCTATGTTGCTTATATTAAGAGGTAAGTTGCGACTCCAAAAAGTTTCATGTTCACTGAAAATAAGGGAACCAGATCTTAATATCAATTATGCTGTGAACAGTAAATGTTCAATTTGACTATCTAACCTGTTTATATTAAACGACACCTTTAAAAATTACTACGTAGCATCATCAGGTATTTTGTTATCTCATAAAATCTTTATTTTTAAAAAGATTTCACTGATTGAAAACTTGATGTGAGCAGAAATTCAAAAAACGTCTAACATGTATATAGTACGCTCAATAGAGTTTATTTATGTAATAAATATCATTGCAATGTTCTGTTTACGGTTTTTTAAATCAATCAATTGATATCATTAGCAATTATTTTTTCACAATTATAGAAATTAACCCTCTATTGTCAAGGGCAATTTTACACTGGTTTTCAGGAGAACCAAGGAAATTGCCCACATTTGAGCATTTCGACATGAGCAGTTCGGTTCACTCCCGTGGCTCAATCACACAGGTACCTGATACCCTGGTAGACCACATTAGCTATTAGTGTTTTAATAAAATGACGTACTGACAACATCGTTCACCGTCTCTTTTTGGATAATGAAAGTGAGTTATTACAATGTTCTTAATTCTAGGAGTCAACAAAATATCTAACAATATATTGCACTACATTTGATGTTACTTGACATTTAACACTGATTCCTTATTTTCTACAGTCTATTAAACAAAAATTAAAAATCATCCATAAATTATGCTTGACATGATATCAATTATCGTTCTAAAAACAAACTTATGTATTTGGAGTGATTTATTTTCATTGATTGAGAGCTCAGTTAACCAAAAAACAGCTTTAGTTCAGTTTCTCGTATTTATTTTGATATAAACCCTTGGAATTGTATTGCTTCTTCAGTTCTCTTAACCTTTTATTGTATATTTGTCAATAATCAATGTCTCTCTTGAATATGCACAAACTGTCATTCAGTTATTTATCATCTGTACAAAAAACTGTTTCCTAATTACACTATGATCGACCTAATCATGCCAAAATATTCTACCCCAGATGAGAATGAATGACATATAATCTTTTTTTGGTGTAAATCAAGTCGTTAAGTCAATGAACGATGTTGGTGTTAATACGAATACAAGAATGATCTAGGTGGTTGTGTATTAAAATAATTGCATAAGAATAGCAAGATTTATAAAATAAATGTCATACACTGCAATCTGACTGTATAAATTACTCGAGTTACAATTCAGAAACACAATTGATCCACTCTCCTTTATCTTTATTAATGAGTGCATACCATAACAATTAATCATTTTTCTAGACATTTGTAATCACAATGCTTACAAATTCCCGTCCTACAACGATTATAATCGATATGATACATCAATCACTAATTTATGGATCATTTTATTTATGAGCAAAACTAAATATCGTTTTTAATTGATCATATAAGTCAGGAAA